CCGTTAGGCCAGTTGCGTCACCCGGTGCGGCACTTCGTATTGTCACCCCCTCCCAGGAAACAAAGCATATCTATAGTAATAGTTTCGCTGTCTGTCTGTGTATCTACGAGAAAAATGGCCCGTTGAGGAAGGATACACCGGGCGCTAGCTTGATAGTGCTGTCTCTTTTCTCTAAACTAAAACCAACCCACCCCACCCCCACACACCACCCCCACCCCACCCCACCCCCACACACCCCCCACCCCCACCCCACACACCCCCCCCCACCCCCACCCCCCCCACACACCACCCCCTCCACACACCGCCCCCCCACACACACCACCCCCCCCACCCCTCCACCCCCCCCCACCCCTCCACCCCCCCCCCCCCAAAAAAAAAACATGCCTACCGTCCCATTCAACGAAATATAATTATATACTTTTTCCAGTGTCCGCCCCTTCCCCGAAAATTCTACCCCCGCCCCCGAAAATTTCAAGTACCCCCACCCCTCTCTGGGGAGGAAAAAGTCTAAACTAAAACCACCCCACCCCCCACACACACCACCCCCCCCCCCACCCCCCACACACACCCCCCCACCCCCCCCCCCCCCCAAAAAAAAACATGTCTACCGTCCCATTCAACGAAATATAATTATATACTTTTTCCAGTGTCCGCCCCTTCCCCGAAAATTCTACCCCCGCCCCCGAAAATTTCAAGTACCCCCCACCCCTCTCTGGGGAGGAAAAAGTCTAAACTAAAACCACCCCACCCCCCACACACACCACCCCCCCCCCCACCCCCCACACACACCCCCCCACCCCCCCCCCCCCCCCCCCAAAAAAAAAACATGTCTACCGTCCCATTCAACGAAATATAATTATATACTTTTTCCAGTGTCCGCCCCCTCCCCGAAAATTCTACCCCCGCCACCGAAAATTTCAAGTACCCTCCCAGGAAACAAAGCATCTATAATAATAGTTTCGCTGTCTGTCTATCTATCTATCTATCTATCTATCTATCTATCTATCTATATCTATCTATCTATCTATCTATCTATCTATCTATCTATCTATCTATCTATCTATCTATCTATCTATCTATCTATCTATCTATCTATCTATCTATCTATCTATCTATCTATCTATCTATCTATCTATCTATCTATCTATCTATCTATCTATCTATCTATCTATCTATCTATCTATCTATCTATCTATCTATCTATCTATCTATCTATCTATCTATCTATCTATCTATCTATCTATCTATCTATCTATCTCTATCTATCTATCTATCTATCTATCTATCTATCTATCTATCTATCTATCTATCTATCTATCTATCTATCTATCTATCTATCTATCTATCTATCTATCTATCTATCTATCTATCTATCTATCTATCTATCTATCTATCTATCTATCTATCTATCTATCTATCTATCTATCTATCTATCTATCTATCTATCTATCTATCTATCTATCTATCTATCTATCTATCTATCTATCTATCTATCTATCTATCTATCTATCTATCTATCTATCTATCTATCTATCTATCTATCTATCTATCTATCTATCTATCTATCTATCTATCTATCTATCTATCTATCTATCTATCTATCTATCTATCTATCTATCTATCTATCTATCTATCTATCTATCTATCTATCTATCTATCTATCTATCTATCTATCTATCTATCTATCTATCTATCTATCTATCTATCTATCTATCTATCTATCTATCTATCTATCTATCTATCTATCTATCTATCTATCTATCTATCTATCTATCTATCTATCTATCTATCTATCTATCTATCTATCTATCTATCTATCTATCTATCTATCTATCTATCTATCTATCTATCTATCTATCTATCTATCTATCTATCTATCTATCTATCTATCTATCTATCTATCTATCTATCTATCTATCTATCTATCTATCTATCTATCTATCTATCTATCTATCTATCTATCTATCTATCTATCTATCTATCTATCTATCTATCTATCTATCTATCTATCTATCTATCTATCTATCTATCTATCTATCTATCTATCTATCTATCTATCTATCTATCTATCTATCTATCTATCTATCTATCTATCTATCTATCTATCTATCTATCTATCTATCTATCTATCTATCTATCTATCTATCTATCTATCTATCTATCTATCTATCTATCTATCTATCTATCTATCTATCTATCTATCTATCTATCTATCTATCTATCTATCTATCTATCTATCTATCTATCTATCTATCTATCTATCTATCTATCTATCTATCTATCTATCTATCTATCTATCTATCTATCTATCTATCTATCTATCTATCTATCTATCTATCTATCTATCTATCTATCTATCTATCTATCTATCTATCTATCTATCTATCTATCTATCTATCTATCTATCTATCTATCTATCTATCTATCTATCTATCTATCTATCTATCTATCTATCTATCTATCTATCTATCTATCTATCTATCTATCTATCTATCTATCTATCTATCTATCTATCTATCTATCTATCTATCTATCTATCTATCTATCTATCTATCTATCTATCTATCTATCTATCTATCTATCTATCTATCTATCTATCTATCTATCTATCTATCTATCTATCTATCTATCTATCTATCTATCTATCTATCTATCTATCTATCTATCTATCTATCTATCTATCTATCTATCTATCTATCTATCTATCTATCTATCTATCTATCTATCTATCTATCTATCTATCTATCTATCTATCTATCTGTCTGACAAGAACGCTCTAGAGAAAACACAAGGAAAATAAAAACATGCATAGTAATTCGAAAAACGAAGTATGACGTCGACACATTTAGCGCACAGAGTAGAAAATAATCTAAAGCCGGATAGTGCACACAATTATATGACGTCATTGATTCTCGAGTAAACATTGAATTAAAAAGCCAATTCTGTCTAATCTTAATAGTGGTTTGCGGGAAGAGTTTCTTTCATACGATTGTTCGGGTAGGGGCGAAGCCCCACCCCCGCGTAAGAACGTCTAAGCCCCCCCCCCCCCCCCAACTCAAAAGAAATGTCGTCATCGATATTCTATAATCTAATTACCTCCTAATTCATGTGTCTAATCTAAAAAGTGGTTTGCTTGCATAGTTTCTTTCATGCATCTCTTCGGGTAGGGGCGAAGCCCAATTAACCCCCCCCCCCCTTCCGGTAGAACGTCTAATCCCTCCCCCTAAAAACGAAATATAATTTATATAGAAAATATATTATACTTTTACCAGTGTCGGACTCCCCCGCCCCGGATAATTTTATTCACCTCTGCAAAAATTCAAGTGCCCCACCCCCAGAAAAATATCTGAAAGAAACACTGTCTGCGAGAATGAGGTTTATCGGACAAAAGAAAGAAACGAGTTCTAAATTATAGAAGTAGGCTCTATCTTTAGTCTGTATGATCGACAAATACGATCAGTGTTTCTTTCAGACTTTTTCCTCCCCTGAGGGGGGGGTACTTGAAATTTTCGGGGGTGCGTGTGGACTAAATTTTCTAGCAGGGGGCGGACACTGGTAAAGTATATTTTCTATATAAATTCTATTTTGTTAAATAGGACGGTAGATGTGCTTTGAGGTGTGTGTGTGGGGGGACAAGTAGAGTCGCCTAATGTCATTTTTCGTTTCCGGTTAAATTGACTTAAGGTGGTGATTTTGGTTTTGGTTTTAGTTTAGAGAAAAGAGACAGCACTATCAACCTAGTGCCCGTTGTATCCTTCCTCAACGGGCCATTTTTCTCGTACATATATATATATATATATATATATATATATATATATATATATATATATATATATAATATATATATATATATATATATATGTGTGTGTGTGTGTGTGTATGTGTATCGGCCTACATAGGCCTAAAATTTATATATATACCACATACTGGTACACGTACGTGTATAAGCTTTAATCACTGCAGACTTAATAGTAACGATGTTTATCTACAGTCTGTTTATAATACAGTTGGATGTAGCATTGTTTTCTTTATAGTTTACGTTTACGTCGTGGTGCCACACCCCCCCCCCCCCCCTTGATATAATTTTTTATTTGAACTTAGAAGACTATTTAACTTTAACTAATGGATCTGGAAAAATGGCATTTCATTCTATAAATTTTGCAATTTTTTGCCTTTGGTGTCACCCCCCCTAAATGGTGTCACCAGTTGCGGTCCGCACCCCCGCCCCGCCTTCGCTACGCCTCTGCGTTATGCTACAGAGGAGTTAAACGAAGTTAAACAAATATTAAAATTCCATTGTAAAAGTTTTAATTTTTTATGAGGGAAAAGGGCCCCTATGCCTTGCTTACGCTAGCTTTACGGTAGCTACGCCACTGTGTCAGTGGTCCTTTTGTCTGGAGCCAAATTGACAGGAGCCTTTTTGTCGGGAGTCGTAATGACGAGGACCGTTTTGTGGAAAAAACTAAATGACGGGAGCCTATATGTCGGGAGCCAAAATGACGGGAGCCTATTTGTCAGAAGCCTTATTGACTGGAGCCTTTTTGTTGGGAGCCTATATAACGGGAGCCTATTTGTCGGTAGCCTCAATGACGGGAGCCTATATATGACGGGGTCCATATGTCGCTGGCCCTTTTGACGGGGTCATTTTGACGGGGCCTATTTGTCGGGGCCGATTTGTCGGGGTCGTTTTGACGGGGCCGTTTTGTCATTGGCCGTTTTGACGCCGCACGATATATAACTATTAGCTCCTATGCGTAGATTTAGAATCTATATCTAGAATCGCTGTGTTTTTTCTCGAAAAATCAAATATAAATCTATCCAAAACTTCTAAATTTCGATAGCTCGATTCCACTGGAAATGCGACCCCAACCCTTACTGTTATTTATAAGAATAGATCTATATATTATATTATATAAGAAATTTTATGACAGGAGAGCTCACTCCCACTTTAAGTTTAATGTGTGTTTATCACAATTTACTTAACAAACGGTATTTAGTAAGGCCTTTTAAAATGTAAACAATACAAGTCATTCTACTCATTTCTCAATGACTTGCTAAGGACTAGGAAGTGGTATTTTTAATTTTATCATTGACAGACTCTTTCTAAATCTAGATAGATCATAGTAGATCTATCTTCAGTCTTCTTTTAATTGTTATAATAAAATAATTTCATTCAATCTAGAATCTAGCTAGTTTAGGTAAGTTTACTAAAGTTGGTAATCTATCGTTTTAGCGTAACTGTAATCAATTCGGCCGTCACTAGTAATGTAGGGATAAGGTAACTAATACATATGGCTTAAATATGAATAAATTTTTGCATATTCTACTTAAATACTAAAGATAATTGAATATTAAACCACATTTAAGGGTTAAATCAATAAAAATGTCATGAAATTAAGGTTTAACAGCGATGTTCCAGATACTAAATTTGCTATTAAAAACAGCGGCCATCTTAAGAAAATATTATTTTGAGTCATTTCCCTTTAATTTCTATTTGTATGGAACTGTATTGATGTTTGCTATTAAATACGCTAGTCTTGTGTTTAAATACAAAGCATGCGTTTTTTTTTTATTCTGCCCTTTAAACAATTTGATTGACTGACAATAAACATCTGTTCTAGAATTATTATTATGAGATGCAATTTTTATACATTAAGATACTCCCTTTTTTTAATAGAGCTACCACTACATATCTAATGTTTATTTAAATATTAGTTTGAGTTAATTCTTATTGTTTGTGTTATTGTTTGTTTGCTATTTTCATTTAATATGTTCATGCTTTTTTCCTTTAATTAGTGATTTAATCATAAATGACGTCCCGTTTTTTGACCTCTCTTCACCTTAACCCCCCCCCCTCCCCCCATTTTCGCCGTCACGAAATAGTCGTAATGTCGAAAATTACCTTTTTGCACTGTCTATTAAAAAGTCAAGCCATAATTCTAACAAAAAAGAAATATTTTCAGCATTTTTGTATTAGGCGAAATACTTAACGTTTCACGTTTCTTACCCTCCCCCTTCCCGCGTAAAACGTCGTCTCAAAACCAGTTACTCCACCCCTTAAGTGTGCAATGTTATTTATGGTAGATGTCAAGTCCTTTATACATTTTGAATAACCTTTGTTGTCAAAATGTTGATACCAAATACCCAAAATGAGTTATATTATTTATATGGGGTTGTCCATAAACGATGTCACATATGCTATGCTAATATGACGTCAACTTACGCAGGGTGGTCGGGGGGATGTGTGACGTCTATTTTGGAATCTTCTATAAAGCTGTGCTCAATGAAAATGAGGAACATAAAGCGTTCATTTTCATGCATACTTTTGCCATAACGAATGATCATAACTATTGCATGCCTGTTGTACTAAGCGGTGTTAAACAACCTCAGCACATCATCCCCGCCAAAAAGAGCCTGCCACTAAATGCCTACCGACGAAAATAGGCCACACTACATTGACTCCAAATGAAATAACTTCTGACAACAAGGCTCAAATTAAGTAGCTCCTGGCAACAATATTCGACAAGAGTCCAAGACAAGTATTGACTAGCAGGTAAAATGGGACAAATCGAAAGTTTGTCGCCTCTGGGGGGGGGGGGGGGCGTGACACCATTAAGTGCCGCACCGGGTGACACTCGACCTCGCTACGCCACTGAGCTAATGTAAAGCCACAGCTCAGTATTGGCTTAAATTTAACATAAAATAGTGTTAGCAGTGGACAGCCTCTAAGACTGTGCATTAGGAGTACGGCCGTCGGCAAAACGCCAGAGTCCGACGATATCTGAACATCAATTTTGTCTTTTATGAAGTGCGGAGCACCTTTAAGAGCTGAGCTTGGCCCCTGTTGACACCACCACTAGCGCCGCTTATGTCCACATATTAATCACACGTTTTGCGTGGAGCTTAATGGGCAGAAGAAGTTTATAGGTGGGACCGGGAGCCTAAATGCATTTACCGAAGCCGCTGTGTCACGGGCATTTTAGAGCCGAACGTCTCAGGGCAGCATGTTGCAGAAATTAAAAGCACGTGAATTTGTATAGTAGAGGGAGAACATCATGTCACTGAAATAAATTAAACACCAATATAATTCACCGAACTAAAGTCATTTAGATCTATTCGTCAGGCTAAATGTTGCTAAAGTCTCATCGCCATAGTCATTTAGTGCCTGTTTCGATTTTTTTTAATTACGCGGTATCTCTTTCTTAAACATTAGCCTAATGACAAATGACGTCACGCGCGCCGCGAACTTTGTGACGTTGTGCTTAGTGGGGGATGAAACGGCGTGGTTGAGAAAAATGACGTATTTCTTTTTTTTTTAACAGACGAATAAGTAATAGATTCTAATTTTCCTACGAACTGTAGGTTGATCTAGTTTTTTTTTTCTAGAGGGAGATATCACTATATTGTGATGGGGGGTTTATATATAATTCTCAATATATTCTGATCTACTACTATTCATACGGCAACTATTATACTCGTGAGGAGGACGGGAATCACTCTTATGTTCCGCAGACACTAATTAACAATGTCAACAACTTAGTTTATGAAATAACATGAACTTTATTAACTCACACTTATAGGTCATTTGCACAATATCAAAAACAAAATACGTCCGTCTTCTACTATATCTAACCCCCAACTAACTTCACTGCTGCGTCTTACGTCATCGGTACATTGTCGCACCATGCTCACGTCACACTCACGCCACACATATTTTATTGAACACGCGCATAATACTCTCGCACCAAATCGTCTACCGTCAAGTTCGTACCGTCCTTAGTAACCTCTACTCGTCTAATTCTATATATCTACGCTATGACATATATAGTGGGTGTTTTTTTTTTGTTGTAGTAATGGATGGTGGGGAGGGGTAAACATTGACTACTGAAGAATTCAAAAACTGATGACAGCAGAAGACAAAGAAAAAAAAACATGTGGTATTCAAATGTAACTAATAAAAATTTGAACCTATTTTAAAAAACACAATAATCTTAATTTAGAAAAAGTGTAGGCCTAAGACTAATGTCTACAGACAAAATAAACAACTAGGCTTAATTAAATGGGTCGCCCATAAATGACGTCATACTTTTCCCGACGATTGCCCTCTCACCCAATAGTTACTAAAAACAAGATAATGATTTAATATCATATGGCAGTTCTACTATACCCGAACCCTTAATCACAATTTCTAACGAAAACGAATATATTCTTCAGGTATGTATTTTAAACAACAAAATCAACACAATATACATACGAATAGACATTTTTATCAAGGGAAACTACTCTAAATTTTATTTGGAAAGATGGCCGCTGTTTTTTTTCTACTAATATTTATCTCAAACACCTAGTTTAAAGTTAGTTTCATGTTATTTAAATTGTTTTGGTCACTGATTGTTATTTTAAATCAATTATCTGTGATATTTTGTAAAATTTGACTTAAATAAACTTATTTAAACAAATATATTCATCAGTTACCTCTCCCGCACATTACTATCTCAGCCGAATTGATTACGCTAAAACGATAGATTACCTAAAGTTTACTTACTACTTTAAGTACTTTTACTACTTACTACTAGTAAACTTACTACTTACACTACTTAGTACTTACTTACACTTACAGTTGAGTGAGTTGAGGCCTAAGCCTACTACTAGTTACTACTTGTATTACTACTCTACTACTACTACATACTACATTATTGCACTTAGTTGACTTAGTTAGTACGGTAATCTAGTAATATCTATCGTTTTAGGTACGTAAAATCGCCCGCGACTAGTAATGTGAAAAACAGGTGACTGGTGACTCCTTAAATTTTAATAACTATTTCACATTTTGAGGTTTAATGTTTTGAAAAATACGAAAACGTTTCCTTGTTTCATTTATGTGGAATATATGTATGTAGTATGTAGGTCTACATGTTTTTAATTTAAACAATTGAATTAGGCCTAAAACTTTTCAGTAATAAATGAAGACTTGTGATGTTTCCAACAGATGCAACATTTACTATAGCAGCCATCTTGTTTATTTTTTTAAAATTGCTAACTTATAGCGCAAGATTCAGGGGAAGCCACTCTAACTTACAGATGGCCGCTTTTTATATAGCAAATCCTGCTCGCAAACACTGCTGTTTAATAAAGATAATTTCTTGCCTTACTCATATTGATATATTTAGCCATTGATTTAGGTTTATTATTCATTTATCTACAATATCTACAATATTTGACATAAATAGATCACAATGTACTTCTATTAAAGCCTTGACAATGAGGTAACTTTTTCATACATTACTAGCTGCGGACGTTAGATTACCATTAGTACTTAGTAATTAGTTAGTACTTACTTACTTACTAAACTAGTACTTACTTAATACTTAGTAACTTACTAGAGTCTATTTACTACTAGTACTTAGTCTAAGTATTAGTTACTTAGTAAGTAAGTACTAGGTTGTAAATAAGACTTAGTCTAGTAAGTACCAGTACTAGGCATAAACTAGATTTTAGATCTAAGTAAAAGTAGTACTGTAATTACTACTTAGATTTAGAATAATCTAGATCTATTTACTATTTATTTAAATTTTAAAATCATAGCCTAAATAAATATTTATGTATAAATAAATGTCATGTTGCCTGCAGAGCCTGTGTTTGGGGGTGGCGAACGGGGCGGTCGCCCCAGGCCCTGCGCTTCAGCACCGTCACTGTTATCTGAATTAGTTTGTAAACTTAAATAATTCTTGCTGAATGCACTTGGGAAAAACTAAATGGTTGAATGCCGACGTTGTTGATTGTTGTAACTGAGGCCACGGTTGATGTTAGTGAGTTATCTCCCACCTAAACTGGGACAGGTTCTAAATTATAGAAAAGCATTAGTGTGACACGACTCGCTGTGCGGGGTACGATCTGACCAAGGAGGAGAATTTGGAAAACACCTAACGAGATACCCTATTGATGCGCACAGATGAAGACGTTTTGGAGTGAACAGACGGGATGCCTGTAGTATACAGATGGTGACCTGACTTACTTGTAGTTTTTGTATAGGTAGGCCAGGTATAACAAAACATTCAGTGGCGGGCATAGGGGGTGGGAGGAGGGCGGGGGTTGGGGGGATCCACATCATAGGGGGGGGGGGCATCCAAAAGAGTGATTTATTATTTTTTTTGGAAGAAAGTAAAAGTGTTATGTTGTGTCTTCTTAAGGATTCATC